AGAGTTATCATCACATATCTATTAAAATAAGTAAAATAAAAAGAAAACCTGACAATACCAATGCTGGCAAAAATTTGGAGCAACAGGCACTCTCACTGTTGCTGGTGAGAATGCACCATGGTAAGAGTTTGGTAGCTTGTCACAAGGCTAAACATAGTCTTACTGTGTAATCCAGCAATTGTGGTACTAGGTATTTACCCAGAGGATTTGAAACTTTTGACCACAAAAAAGCCTGCATGTGAACATTTTAGCAGCTCTGTTCGTAATTGCAAACGAGTGTTTATGAAACAACACAAATGCCCTTCAACAGGTGAATGGATACACAGAACATGGTATATTCATACAATAGAATAATATCAGCAATGAAAGGAAGGGAGCTATCAAGGCACAAAAGACATGCATGAATCATAAATAAATATTGCTAAGTGAAAAAAGCTAGTCTGAAAATGTTGCCTATTGTATGATTTGATTACATGACATTCTGTAACAGGCAAAATTATAGTGATAGTACAAAGATCAAGGGTTGCCAGGGAACTGGGGGGGGCGGTAAAGGGGAGAGGAGATTAATTAGGTGAAGGGGTGAAGGACGGGAGATTTTTAGGCCAGTGAAACTATTCTGTAATAATGAGGTAGGAGTAGGAGGCAGGACTTGATTCCAGAGGTGGGCTGAGACACTGGACCAAACTGAGGACTAGCTAAAACAGGGACCGGGTGGAAGCAGCTTTCCATGAGAGCCACCCACCAGTGTGCCATGTCAGTGTGCCATCACCATGGCAACACCTGAGAGTCACTGCCCCTTTCCATGGCAGTGACCTAACAACCCAAAAGTTACCACCCTTTTCCTAGAGATTTCTGTGTAAACCAGCCCTGAGTGTACATGTAACTAAAAGTAGGTGTAAGTACGATTGCCAAACTGCCCTCAGCTGCTGCTCTCAGAACGCTGCCTACAGGGTGGCCCTGCTCTGCAGGAACAGCCATGGGGCTGTAACGCTTTCGAGCTCTAACACTGCTGCTTCAGTGAAGCTGTTTTCATCTACCCTACCACCGGCTCACCTTTGAATTCTTTCCTGGGTGAAGCCAAGAACCCTCACAGGCTAAGCCCCACTTTGGGGTTTGCCTGCCCTACAGCAATGATACTGTAATCCCAGCCCTTCCAAGCTGGCAACACAGGCCGGCTGACTCCCTGCTTTGGTTTCCATGTCTGAAGAATGGGGTGTTGTGAGAACAGAAGCAGTTGTGGGGTACAGGCCCAGTCCTTCCTGGGAGCACGTGTTTATCCCCCATGGACAATGGATGTGAGTCTGGCCCTGACCTCAGGCTTCGCAGGGTCCTGGGAGAGGAGCCGTGAACACCACAGGCAGTGTATGTAGTGACTGCATCAATAGAGCTGGCACAGAGAAGCTGGAGGCATCCTGGAAGGCTTTCTGGAGAAGGTGCTGTCTGAACCGGGTCTGGGTCTGAATGATGTCAGGGCAATGCATGGTTTGAGAGAGGGAATCCCAGGCAGAAGGGGCAGCAGTGATCACAGCTGCAGGGAGAAAATAGGGTGTGCGTGGGGGAGAAAACAGGGTGTGTGTTGCTGGAGCATCTGGAAGATGCCAGAGAGAATGGGCAGGCTCTGCAGGGCCTTGTAGGCCTTGAGAGCATCTGGGCTTCCTCAGGAGGCCAAAGGGGCCACGGAGGATTCTAAGCCTCTCCAGATTTGAGGCTCTCCCGGGAGGGAGGAAGGAAGACAGGAGGCACTGGTGTGCATCTGGGTGGCGTGAGAGCCTGGCCAGACCACATAGTGGGGACGTGAGGAGGGACGGGTGTGAGCTAGTTGGGGGTGCTCTCCATCCTGCAGCAGGTGGGTGCCATGGAGGGGAGGGAGAAGGATCCAGAAGGAGCAGCGGGTGGATGACAGGAGGCTCTGGTCAGGCAGACAATGGCTGCCACCGAGATCAAGCTCAGGAAATTTCCTGTTGCTTCTGATGGATTCCAGACGTTTCTTAGGAGGTGCCCACTGCTAGGCCTGGTGCTCTATGACAGACACGGAAATGGCCAGACCAGGTGACTTGCTGGTTTTCAGGTGACTTCCGGTCAGGCCGAGCAAAGGAGCAAAGGTTGGACATGCAGGGAGGCTCGCATACCCACGAAGAGGCCCTGAGGCCATCCCCAGGGCTGCCTTGTTGACATCAGACCTGTGAAGGGGAAGTGGGGAGCTCTGCCTGCCACCTGCAGCCAGTGCCAGCCCACAGGCGCGGAGGCAAGGAAGCGTCTGTCTGGTCAACCCTGTGTTCCTGTCAGTGGCGCCTTCCACACTGGGTGCACAGCGCTCACTCATCAGTCAGATGAACCTAAAGGCACGCAAGCCCAGGCCCCTTCTCGTTACACTCTGCGGTACCTGCGTGGAGCTCTGTAGCCACAGGAAGTGGTGTCTGTGATCCTGCTGGGGCCGCTTGTCAGACACACTCATCGCCCTTCCGGGCTGGAGAGTGGGGCCCAGCCCGCCTTGCAGGGGCACTTTGTCGTATTTGTCACATTGAGCAGCAGCTGCGCTAAGTCCCCTCCCAGCCTTGGCTCGTGCAGCTGCCTGGTTCACCCTCTTTCCTCCTTTTCCGGTGTGGAAGGTGATCTCTTGATCTCTAAGCTCAAGGCCCAGCCTTCTATAAACTATCCCCTTCCTCCAAAAATCCCACTCTCCTGCCCCTCACCTTACTGTGCCGTGGTTCCAGTTTGTGAGTCTGTCTCTAAAACCAGAAGGCGAGACCATGGAGGTCAGGGATTGCGTCTGAGCGCTGGTATCTCCCAGCAGCTGTCTCAGTCTGGCACCCAGTTGTGATAAAAACACACAGTGGATGGAGTGAAAGATGAGACCTTCCAGGTGACAAGCTGCTGCCTTCAGGGAAGTGTCAGCACTGAGCTTGACACTTCGTAGCTGCCCAGTAATTGTGGGCTGCTCTGCTTTTGATTGTTATTCTGGAGCCGGCTTGAGCTGTGCCCAAGGACTCGGGTAGGGGGTCTCCTTCATGAATAGAAGCCAAGGGTCTTCTCCCTGGCCAGGAAAGGCCCTCTATTCTGTCCTGATGACCTGGGGAGACAGTTCTGTCTCCAGACCCTGCCCAGGACCCACAAACTGATCCCAAGGTTCAAGGGATTCAATTGTAATTTGAAAGCCCCATGTAGATGTCCATGTTAGTATTAAGAGCAGCGAATCCTTGAGGGTGGCAGGCACCCTGCTGGGATGATGTTACAGGCATTATCTCATCAGAGACACCAAGTGCCAGCATCTCATGGTGCCCACGTCAAGCCCATGCTAAGGACCCGGTGGCTGAGGGTCTGTGGGGGAACAGCCCCTAGCAGGAGGCAGCTGGGTCACCGTGTTTGGTCCCCTGCTCTCACCACTGAGGAGTAACAAGCTCTTTTGGTTTCTCCCCGATTCTTCATAATCTCGGAGGTTTTTCTCCATTAGAAAGGGCCCCAGGAAGGCAGCAGGTGCTGAGATCTGTCCTCATCACATGGGCTGCAGTCTTGGGCAGCATTTCTCAAAGTAGTGAGATGCTTCGAAGTCCCTGAAGTCCAGATGCTTGGGAAGCCCCGGGGCTGAGATCAAACAGCCTCCATTCCTGGTGGTGGTGGTGGGGTCTTTGCATCTTTATATAGGCTGATTAAAAATAATTTAATCAGATGTTAAAGATGGTTCAGCTGACCCCGAACAACATGGGTTTGAACTGTGCAGGTCCACTTATGAGCAAATCCACTTATGCATAGATTTTTTCAATAAGTAGTTTGGAATTTTTTTTTTTTTTTTTTTTTTTTTTTTTTTTTTTTTGGAGATTTGCCGCAACTGGAAAAAACTCACAGGTGAACAGGCAGCCTAGAAATATTTTTAAATGTTAAAAAGGTATGTCATGAAGGCACTAAGTGCGTACAGACACTAGCCTCTTTGTGTCATGATCGACTGTTCAGTAGCTGTTCAGGCTCCCAGTTAACAGTGGTGCTGTCAGTAAAGTTTTGGAGGAGGCAAAAGTAACGCACAAGGCTGGCACAGTGGCTCAGCTCCCTGCTCTTTGGGGAGACTGAGGCTGGAGGACCCCTTGATCCTGGGAGGCTGAGGCTGCAGTGAGCTACGGTCAATACCACTGCACTCCAGCCTAGGCGACAAGGTGAGATCCCCATTTCTAAAACAACAAAAAAAATTTTTTTAAGCTTAATGCATGGATTTTTGACAGCAAGGGGTTTATAGTGTCTCAAACCCTCTGTTGTTCAGGGTCAACTGCAGAGAAATAAATGAGACCATTTCTGTTAACTGCAGTGGGTCCTGCAGGTGCCCCAGGCCCCGATGGAACCCTTTAGGGAGTCTGTGCAGCCCTCCCCTGCCTCCATGAGCAATGATAGTGACTGGCTTCTGGAGGACCATCCTGCAGCGTCTGACTCACCCCTCCACTCTTGTGCACCAAGAGCCAGAGGGCTCTGGGACTCCACCTTTCCAGGGTCCAGGGACCCCACAGGTCCCCTTGGGATCAAGTTGAGGCTGAACTTTGTCCAGTGTCTCCCTTGCTCAGCTTCTCCCCCTCCTGGGTCCTCTCTCCTGATCCCTTAGCTGTGTCCCTGGGAGCTCATCCTTAATACGTCCTTAATCCCTTGCACACAAGGCCACGTCTCAGGGTGTGCTTCTGGAAGAACTCTAGCTAAGACAGATTTTCCTTGCAGACCTTATCAGAGCTTTCACCATGCTATGGTGAATAATGATTTCCCAAGAGGGAGGAAAAGTATGCAGTGTTTTGCAAAATCATTTAACCACAATGACCATCCCTTTTATTAGAACCTTCCTGAGCTAGGGTTTTCAGGGGGCTCCCTGAATGCTGCCTGAACTAATAAAACACAAAGTTGAACGAGTTGTTTAAGGTTACCCAGCAGCCCCAAGGGATCGCTTCCCCACCGCTGAATGCATCCGGGGTTATAGAGAGGGGTGGGAAGTGAGAAGAGCTCCATTTGGCCAAAGAAGGGAAAAAGCCTCGTTCCAAAGAATTGTAAAATTTATTGTATAAGTATTGCAGCTTTTCAGAATGTCATCATTGCCACTAATGATTACTGATACACAACAAGCAGTTTCTTCAGGCCTGCGAATTGGCATCCAGATACAGAGTCTTACGCAGCAGGGACGTGGGTGCACTCCCCGAGCGCCACGGAGAGCTTACATAAGTTTAACTTGAACAGAGCTTGGGAAATGGGGCTGCGAAGGAGAGCAGTTCCCACGCCAAGAACGCAACGTGAAAGCATCGGAATCAGCACAACAGTCATGGCATGAGGCAGGCAGGGGAGGACGGGCTGTGTCCTCTGAGCTCTATAGTACAGCAAGATTTCAAGCAGTTTCCAGAAACAACAACAACAACAACAACAACAACAACAACATTTTCTTCCCTTGTCACGGGCTGTTTCATGGTTCTGGAAGCTTCATGTTGCACATAGAAAAACAATTTCTCTGAAATGTACAATTCTCAGGGACGACCGATGAGAACAGGGAATGAATCGGTTCTCCTCCAGCCCTGATTTTTGCTACATGTGGGGTCCCTTTTCATTCTTTGCAAAAACACTGGGCTTTTTGAGAACACGGATGGTTCTTAGCACAATTAATGAAATCCGTCTGTGTAGACTCAGGCTTTGCAGGGGAGATAATTTTCCTCCTCTGGAGGAAAGGTGGTGATTGACAAGCAGGGAGAGAGTGACAGGACTAGAGAAAGCCACGCTCAGGCTTCTCTGAACCCAGGATGGAGCGGCAGACCCCTGAAACCAAGCTGGCCCCTTTCCAACCAGCCACTTCCGAGAACCCCATCCAACTTCCCACTGGAAAAGAGGGCCTCCTCCGGGGCAGTCCCAGAGTTCTCAAAGATAATGTGACAAGCAACATCTAGAGGAAAGGGTGCACCCCCAGCAGAGAAGCTGAGAGTTTAGCTCTGGTCATTTCCAGAGAAAACCTGCTGGCTGTCTTGGGATGTGCCCTGCCTTTGAGGCCACTGCCCCACGCACTTCTGCCATTCACTGGGCACGGAGCTGGGGACACTGGACTTCAGCACTGGGTTGTCATGAGAGACGCGCTCTGTCCTCAAGCCGGCTGAGGTCAGCAGCCACTCTCCTCCCTTTTTTCATGCAAAGCCAATCCCACAAATCCAGACTGTACCATCAAGCAACAAGACCCAAACAGTTTGGCTCAAGAGGACATGGGGACTGCCTCAGCCTGGCTTCGGGCTGACGCCACGCACACAAACACGGTCCACTCCTAGGTTTTCCGCCTAGGCGGGAGTTGTGCACAGACCCTGGCAAAAAAGGCTGGAGGAGCAGGAGGGGTCACCTCACCAAGCTGGGCACCTCCCCAGTGGAGAGAGGGTGAGCACACAAGAGGACGGTGGGGTGTCTGAAAAGCAGCAGGAGCCCTTAGTGGACCCTGGGAGAAGAGGCCAGTCCCAGGTGAGTGAGGCACTGTCCGGGAACATCCCCACCCTGTGACAGGAGTGTCACTGCTTCCTCAGTAAGGCACTAGAGACGCGTCACATAAAGGAAAGATACGTTTCAATCATCTTTACAAGCGTGTCCTTGTACCTCTCAGGACAACCTCTATTGATTTCTCTACAGGACCTTTTCAAAGAATCCTCTTCAAGAGCGAAACAAATTTTAGGCTGATGATTCCACTGAGAGGCAGGTTCTGCCATTGCCAATGAACGAGAACTTTCTATTAGGCTGGCGGCACACAGAGCCCACGTCTGTCCGCTGCCAGCTCTTAAGGCACACGCGTGCACATGCATGGAGCTCAAGTGGCCAGAACTTCCAAACCGTGCTCAGGTGTCTGTTCTGGAAGTTATAAAAAAGTTGCTCACAAACAATATCGCCTCTTATATCTTTCTTTTATGTTAGTCTACTAGTCGGCATTCTGCCCAAAATGGAACGTCACTCCCATGGCGAGGGGGTGGCAGCTGGGAGTCTGCTCTTCCAGCCGGGTGCCCTCCCATTCCTACCCCCTCCAGGAGGAAACGTGGCGAGCTCCAGCCACTGGCCACGGTGGGTCCCAAGGGCCCACCCCTCGTGCCTTTCCCCGGTCACCTCTATTTACACTCGCGTGTCCCTTCACGCTCTTCACCTGCACGTCACCAGCAGGTCCTGCCAACCCTACGTCTATTTGGTGAAAACCTGGAGAACAAGAATAGAGTCCAACAGAGATGTGAGTGGACACACAGATCAACAGACACACCAGGAGTGAGCACTGTTTCCGCGGGGAAGGGGATGGAAAGGTGGGAACAGAGAAGGTGGAGGATACCGCAGGCGAAGCTCGGGTTGGCGCTGGCGTGACTGTTTTCCTAGTGGTAACCCTTTCGCCTGTCCTGGGAGAAACCTGGGCTTGTCACCTTTTCATGTTGGGTGGTCTGCTTTTTGGCCTCTCAAGTGACAATTGATCCGTGAAGGGGAACAGACAGGACGAGGTCAGACTGCGAATACCCTCGGCCTTCCTAGGTGCCAGTGTGGCAGAGAGCGCACCTGCCTTCACCGGAGATCCTTGAGCGGGCTGAGCCACCACCAAAGCGCCCTGCACAGGTAAGCCGTCGGACCCTCTGGCGTGTCCCTGGCAGCCTGTGCGCCAGCCACGGTGGCTTTCGAGGAGGGGCACCTTGTTCCCCCTCGTGGGGACCTTCACGGTTGAAAAAAAGAAGAGGAAAAACTGATTCCTTCGGTAGCAGTTTATTTTCATTTTTGGGAAAGGCAAGAGCACCACCTGGAACTTGATGCCTCCGTGGTTAACTTTCCTATTTTGTTTGTGATTTAAAGGCTGTTCTGGCCCAGAGGCGGGGCAATGTGTCTCCTTCGGTGGGGAATGTATCACGTGGTGATAACCTGTCACTAGGCAGAAGCAGCCACTCTGCAGGGGTGGCGGCCCCTCAGGAAAGCCGGCCACTTCCAGCCGAGGCCTGTCTGCAGGTTCCTCAGGGCGACTCTGAAATTCTGACATTTCTCCCTTAAAGTCTCAACAGACACAAGAGAAGTTTCCATCAAGCAAGCACTGACATATTTATATTAAAAAATAGTGCAAAATCTCAACATTTATATAAATAACTCTAAACCCCTGCTTTGTAATTTTTTCTCTACAAGGTCATACACACTTCCGGGTTGGCACTCAAAAACTGCCATTTTTTTCCTCTTCTAGTTCAGAAAACAACTTTTTTTTTAATAGGCCTCTTCTAATACAAAAATACTCCTGCGCTCGCACATACAGTTTCTCTTATCTTATATATATTTATATATATAATATTGCAGATCTTTAAACAAAGGTTTTGTGCAAATATGTCTTTAAAGTTAAGTGAAATTATCATAAACAAAAGAAAATAAGCATTCACGCACGCAGCTCAACTAGAAACAAGAAAGACTATTGTAGAAATGTGTTTTCTCTTCTGCCTTCAAGACACAGCTCAACAAAGACACGTGGGGTTTTGTTTTGTTTTGTTTTGTTTTGTTTGTGTGTGTGTTTTTGCAAGCTCTCCTAGCTTGTGCATTCAGACCAGACATCACATGTAAATATTTATACACAGGGAGGTGGGAGGGGAGGCCACACGACGCTTTTCTGCGCCTCCCGCCTTCCTCACTCCTCTTCTAAGAAGTGCGGAGTGTTCTGCCTTTCCGCCTGCGCAGCCCCAGCCCGGCCCCCCGGGGACCCTAGAGCGGGTGTCCTTTCTGTTTATCCTTCTCTTTGCTCCAGACGGCCGCGCTCTCTAGAGGTGCGATGTGTGTGTGGTGGAGCCGGGTCCCCTCCAGCAAGGAGGGCGGCCCGCTGCTCTGCTGGTGCTGGAAGGAGGACCCCGGGTAGTGGCCGATGACCTCGCTGTAGGTGGGCGGCGGCCCCTCCATGCGCCCGCCACTGCCGTAGCATGTGGCGCTGATGCCCGAGTTACTGCTGGGGGGGCAGGGGCCGCCTAGCCTGGCACTATCCATCAGGTCACTGTCGAAGATGGTTCTGTTTGGGGGTGCGCGCACCGACTCGCGGTTCAGTTCCAGCTGCTGCTCGGGGTCCCGGAGCTGGAGGGTGCAGGGGCCCTGGTAGGGCGGGGGCTCCTCCCCATCTGACAGCGAGATGGTGGGGGGCAGGTCGATCTCGTGCTGCAGGTACGGGTAGGTGGGCTGGAAGCGGTGGAAGCGGTCCCGCTGGGCGAAGGGTGGCACGGCCAGGCGGTCGGTGGGCCGAGGTGGGGCATACACCTGCGGCTGGAGGAGGCAGAGCAGGAGTGAGGGAGGGTGGCTGTCTCAGGTCGGCCGGAGAGGCAGATCCTGAGACTGGAGTTCTGCTGCACAGGACGTGGCTCTCTGGGGAGAGGTAGAAGGTGGTAGGGGTGGCAGGGGAAGAAGCCAGGAGCCTGATCCTGCAGGAGCCCTGGCATGTGGGCAGCACGGCAGTGCTGCATCACCCTCCTCGAATAGGGGCAGCATCCACGCTCCCGTGCTGCAGAGTGTGGGCTGCTCCCCCAGGGGCAGAGAGCAGATGATCTCGAGCCAGGAGGATCCCAGCAGCAAGGACACTCAGAGAAGGGTGGAGGGGTGAGCCTTTGGAAGCCAGCACTCCTCCAGCCGCAGCAGGAGCAGCCTGGGTTGGGGGTTTGGAGGGAAGGTGGAGGGAGGTCTCACCTCTGTGATTCCGTTGCCCGACACTGTGCTCTCCGAGGGCCACAGGCATCCTTCCTGCACAGGAAGAAACATACAAGCAGGGTCAGTGGGGTGGGCAGGAGGGACAGCAAAGGCTCAACCCAACCTCGACGCTCAGGCCTTTCTTTACCCTGGAATTAGCTCTTGAACACACCCACCTCTCCGCGTCCGAACCTGCTTCCCTAGCCTGGCCCTGGAGGCTTTTTGAGGAGGACAGGACCACAATCGCCTCCTCACTGATCCCTAAGGCACCCACTGCTGTCCCCAGAAAATCCAGCCTGACACTTTCCGAAACATACGCCAACTCCTGAGGTCCCCTTCTCAAAGCCTACCGCAGCTTCCCGTGGGCCTTCATGGCTTCTCGCAAGGCTGAGCATGGCCTCAGCCCCTCGACCCTGGCCCTACTGCCCCCAGCCTGGGCCCCCTGCTGGCTGTGTGACCTGCGGCAAGTTACTTAACTTCAATGCTGTGGTTTCTGTACCCGGAAACATGGGCGATGATAACACTGGCCTCACGAGTTCCTTGAGCACATGCTAAAGTTAAACGTAAAACCCACCCGGAGCCCGTGTGGCACTCAGGGAGCACGTGAAGGTGTTGGGTGTCGCCTCCACACTCCCACCAGCCACCCTGACTGGCACCGTGCGGCTCCACAAGCTCAGCCCCAGCTACAGGGCTTTTGCACGGCAGCAAGGCTGCAGAGCCGGCTCCTGTCCACGTTCAGTTCCACTGTCCCCTGCAGACCCTCGGAGACCAGCATCGAAACGGCTTCTCCCGTCATCTGCCGGTTCCCTTCACAGCACTGCTTCTACACATTCATTTCTCTACAGTCTCTCTCCCTCCATCTAGCGGGCCCATCATTACGGATGTCCCAGTTCACAGGTGAAAAACAGGAGAGTTAATGAAAGTGCCCAAGGCAGCGGCTCTCCATAAAACAGTGACTCAGTCTCTGGCAAAGGGGGCATGCGGTGCCATGGCAGTGCCAGGCTCTGGTCTAGGTGCAGGGGCACAGCTGCCACTTCATGAAGCTTATGCCATCTGCTCCGAGATGACAGCAGGGTCCTGGACCTCGTCCCAGGAAAATGAGACCCCACGCTGGACTGGTTTCTCTGAGATGCCCCAGATGCCATGATGGTGAGGTCTCGGCCCGGGGAGAGGGATGCCTATGACTTTTCTAGCTTCATTGAAATATAACTGATAGGCAAATAAATGTACATATTCAAAGCATGTAATTTCGTGGCCGGGCACGGTGGCTCAAGCCTGTAATCCCAGCACTTTGGGAGGCCGAGGCGGGTGGATCATGAGGTCAAGAGATCGAGACCATCCTGGTCAACATGGTGAAACCCCGTCTCTACTAAAAATACAAAAAAATCAGCTGAGCATGGTGGCGCGTGCCTGTAATCCCAGCTACTCAGGAGGCTGAGGTAGGAGAATTGCCTGAACCCAGGAGGCAGAGGTTGCGGTGAGCCGAGATCGCGCCATTGCACTCCAGCCTGGGTAACAAGAGCAAAACTGCGTCTCAAAAAACAAAACAAAACAAAAACAAAGCATGCAATTTCGTAAGCTCAGGCATATACTTATACCAAGAACCTCTTGCCACATTCAAGATAATGAGCATGTCCATCACCTCGAAAGTTCCCTTGGGGCAGGTTTTTTGAGGGGTCCCAGGTGGGATCCCACTCACCTGCAGCCTGGGCAGGAACAGGAGAGGGCGGTAATTTCCCAAATGACCACTAGAGGGCTCGGTGGCCCGCACAACTGTCCCATCAGGAAGGCTCCCGCCCCTCAAGGAGGCCCTGACCTGCCTCATCTCCCGACGTAGTGAATGGCTCTGACATCCTTCAAGGTGCAAAGCCAGACTCGCGGAATCATTCCTGACAGACGGCTCTTCTCCCCACCCCGCTGGTTCCACCCACCCCTGTCCCTGCTCACCTCTCCCTCCGTTAGCCAGTTCTACCCACCTCCCTCCCCAGCATCTGGCCTGGTGGACAGCAAAGTCCTCCGGAACTGGCCTCCATGTGGACAGTCCGCCAGCAGCCTGCAAAAATGCAGATTCTGGGGCAGGAGGGCCGGCGAGGCTGCGCGTCGCTCAATCTCTCAGAGGCTGCGAGCGCCGCTGGCCTCCGAGGTGGGTGAGGGGGTCTCCTGGGGTCTCCTCCTCCACTCTTGCCCTTCCCCATGGCCCTTCCTCCTCACAGAAGTGGGAATATCTCCCTCACGCCCCCCACCCCTCACCTGGTCACTCCTCTGCCTAAACCCTCTGGGACCCCCGCTGTCTCCAGGAGAAACTTACAACTCCCAACCGAGACCCATGCCCCTGTAGACGTCCACAGCTGCGGCACCGCTGTTTCCTTTAACGCGTTTTCCTGTCTGTATAGTGGGCTGACTCTGCCAGGCGCATGATGCACGCAAGCTCTGGAGTCTTGCCTCTGGATCTGAGCCCACCCTGGGCCTGGACCGATCGCCGCGCTTTCCCGAAGAGCGCCGACCTGCCCCCAAGGCTCTGTGAAGGCGTGTTGACCTCAGAGCTCCCCGTCAGCCACCTCTTCCACTCTCCTCCAGTCCCCTCCCTGCACCGGGGCCTTTGTCCCTCTGCCCGGAGTGGCCTATTCATGCGTCTCACTTGCCTGCAGGAGCTGCTACCGTTTCCCCAATGCCAGGCATCGGCGTGGCATGCAGTCGGTCCGGGCTCAGGGTGCTACTCATGTGCGAACGTTGCTGGGCGACCTGTGCAAGTCACCTTTGTGGAATCAGGTCCCAAAGAAGTGGGACCTGAGGAGTGGGGGTGGGGCAGCTTCAGAATTGTCCGGAACCTTCTCCAGCCTCTGGCTGCGTCTGGCAGTCACATGCAGGTGGAGGACGAGGACAGGTTTCAATCCTACAGCCCCGGCTCCCAGGGCTCGGCGGGGAGCGCTCTTCTTTGAACACAGCCGGCCCGCCTGTGCCTTCCCCATCTAGATGCTTCTACACCTAGGGTCTGAAAACTGTTTCCATAAAGGGCCAGAGAGTAAAATGCTGTCTGCTTTGTGGGCCGGCGGGTCTCCAGGTCTCTGTCACACCACTCAACTCTGCTGCTGCAGCCAAGGGCAGCTGTGGGCAAAATATCCTCAAAGAGACTTCATTTGTGCTCAGAGAAGCCTCATTGACAAAACCAGGCAGCTGCAGTGAGCTGACGCTTGAGGTAGCTCCGGCCAGACCCCTCCAGAGTCTTCACACCACGAGGCTGGATGCAGCTCTCGATTCTTCCCCTGGGCTCCCCAGGCACAGTCTTCCCACCCCAGGGGACGGGATGGCCTTCCGCCCAACTGCAAGGACTCAGAGATGTTTCTAAGGAATAAAAGATGACTCCGGCCAGGACCCGGCGCAGCACAAGGGGCCTGGGGGAATTCCGTGTCTCCTGAGGCCACGGGAGTGGACGTAAGGTCTTTGGCTCCCGCTACTGGCTGATTGTCACATGCTGGCCTGCCCACAGTCTTGTCCCTGCCCCTGGGAAATGGATCCTTGGTGGGCTGAGTTCTCTCGGGAGGACTCACACTGAGGACTGATTTGGGGAAAAGGGGACAAAGGGTTGCCCCATTCAAGGCCTGAGTTTCCGGTCTGAGCAGGCCTTGGGCACAAAGACTGGGACTGCCTTTCTGGGTAAACCGAGGTCTGTGTCACTCAGTGACCGGGTGGTCACTGCGGTGACGTTATTCGTCGTGTCCCAAATGCCCTCGGAGCAGTGCCAGGGAGGAAGTGCCATCGCTGGCCGGGGCGGCTCGCCTGCACTGCGTGTCACCCTCAGAGGGCAGATCCTTGCCCAGTGTCACACCACGAGGAGGTGACCAGGCTGGGACCGGATCTCAGAGCTGGGGGTCTTACCCACGAGGGTGAGGCAGGTGGGTGGGGCATGAGCTCTTGGCTCCATACAGGCAAGAGGGGACCCCCCAGGGTCACCCTGAAAAGGGGCCATGGCCGGATAGCCACACCAGAGGTGGGACACAGACTGGGTCCCAAACAGACAGGAGCTGTGTTTGGGTCTCTGTGGAAGGCCACAGTGCCTAGGGACTCCAGTCTGGCAGGGGGTCCCCAGGGGAGCTGCCACATTTTGCTTCAGGCCTAGCAAGGCTCCACGTTTACCCAGCCAGGCATCCCGGGGGCCTGTGCAGGCCGCGGGGTGAACAGTGGAGGAGACTTTCTGTTGGCTGCAGGTGTCCGGGAGCCAGGACGGAATCCTACCTCCTTCCCGGCAGCGGAGCCCGGGGACTGTCTCCCACTCCCCAGCAGCCAAGTCCCTCCAGCCAGCCTCGGGCCCCGTGCACTCCGCTAACTCCAGCCTCCCCATGGCCACGGACGCACAAGCCTAGCTTCAACCCACTGTAGAGACGCACAGACAGGCTCGACGGGCAAGGTGAGCCCGGCCGCGGTGCGCGCCCCTCCAAGGCTGCCGTCCTCTGCGGTGTGGTGTCCAGGGCGCCGTCACTCTCCCCAGCATTTGAGGGAGGACAGAACAGGCTGTGGGCTCTTCAAACCGGCGGTGACAGGCGGCGTGGTGCCAGGCAAACGTTCCACCTCTCTAATCCCGTTTCCCCTCTGGAAAGTGGGGTGAACCCTTGACGTCCCTGACCGCCTCCCTGGGCAGGCAGCCGCGCTCGTTGCTGGGGTGGTGGCAACAGCACATACACACACAGTGCCTGGAGAGCAGCTGGTCCGCAGTGCGCCCTCGGAACACGTGCTGGGCGCACAGGGGCCCGGGTCTGGGGAGGCGGGCGTTCCCATCAGAGGTCCCAGGCTTATGCTCCTTGCCCTGGTAACCTGATGACGCACTGAGGCTGGGGCCTGACGCAAGCAGAGGTGCCCAGACCTGCCAGTGGCAGGCCTGCCGGCTCGGGACTGTGGCCAACGGGCTCCTCAGCCGACTTGGCTCAGCCCAGGGACTCTGGGCGCTGCCACCAACCCCGGGCATCCCCAGAAGTGGGGAGGCCACACCCTGTGCTGCCTGTTCCATGAATCCTCCCCACAGCTGGCGAGCCCAGGCTCAGAGATACGCCGCAGCCCCAGGGCTGCCCACGTGCCACCTCCTCCCCGCAGTTCCCAGCCGCCTCACATTGTGGAGTTACACATCCTGGGTGCGGAGATGGAAGCCATTAAGAGAGGAACTCTGCTCTGCCCTCTGATCCACCTGCTGAAGGATATCCCAACTGCAGGGCTCTGGGCGGCCAACGTGGAGCTGGGAGTCCACCGTCAGAAGGGAGGCAAGTCCCCACTGACCCTGCCCTGCCTGCCCCTGACTTGTGAAGGCTCAAGGGGGAAATTCTTGGGGTTTCCAGAATGCACACCAATGCTCACAACTCTGATAGCTAATCAACATGCAGGACCGGAGCAGGGAGTGGGGTCCCTCCCGCAGGGCTCTGTCCGCCTCACATTCCCGCGTCCACTTCCCCGGGTCCTTCACAGCCCGGCCTCCCGGCCACGGCCCTCGGTGTCCTTCATGAGCGCACCTGCTCCTGTCTGCGCCCATCCATCTCAGCAGCATCACCCCCTGGGACTGGCGCACAGCCACTTGCCAAACGCAAGGGGAGTTCTGTGCATCCTGTGTGTGTGCTGGGTAGAGATCTATCGGGTGGATGGATAGACGGACGGATGGACGTGTGTTCACAGCCAGCAGTGGCTGGACCTGTGCTCTGTGCTAAAGCCCTGAATCCCCAGGGGGTGGATGTGCCTGTCAGCCCATTTCACACATTCTGGGGATCAGGGACAGATCTGACGGTAGGTGGCCAGTACTGGTGGAGCTGGGATTAAACTCAGACCTGGTGTCCTGTTGCCTCTATGGCTCTCCACGGCACTGTGACCACATGACCGGCTGCCGGTGGAGCACGGGTGCGCGAGGGCAGAGCCGCTACTTCCCTTCTGTCTGGGTCTGGGCTGCAGGCACCTTTCCCTCCACAACCCCTTCGGGCACAGAGCCCAAAGCCAGCCCCTCGTCTCCACCATCCTGTTGCATCAGGCCTCTGCGTGGACCTGGAATGCCCTCCTGCCTCGCCTGCCCAGGTGCCTCCCTGGCTTTCAGCCGAATCCTGCCAGGCCTGTCTCCACGAAGCCCCGAGGGACGTGGGTCGGGATGGGGGTCAGCCTGAGCAGCTTGTGGCCCAGCCCTGCCTCCCCAGCTGAGGGGTACTCACAGGGGCTCCCCCAGGCATGGCACTGTCACTACCGGGCAGCTCCTCATCTCAGCTCCGTGACAGCAAGGACCGGTGTGCTGCCTACGCCCCAGGACCCCGCACAGAGCCTGGCACCCGAGGCTGCTCAGGAGCCAGCTGAGTGCGTGAGTGGATCATGAAGCCTCTTCCCAGCCCAGCTCCTCACTCCCTGCCTTCCTCCAGCGTCTCAGAGGCCCACCTGGTGGGTGCTTTCGTCCCATGTCAGGGGAGGAAACTGCTATCAGGTGGGCTTGGCCATGTCTTCCTGCCCTGAATCTGTTTCCTGCGAAGGCCACCATAGGACCCCATCCATGTTTTTATAAGGGGTGCCCCGCTGCCGCTGAGGCCTTGGGCCACAGACGGGAGGGTGTGGCACTTACTGAGGACAGGGCGTCTTCTCTCCTCCGCCCCTGGCTGTGCCGGCTGATGAAGGACCGTGCAGACAGCTTGTAGTGGCTCAGCAGGCACGTGATCACCACCACCATCACCATCATCACCACCACGATGATGATAATCTGAACGAACTCCAGCTCCGCTGTGGAGACAAAGAGGGACACGTGAGACCCTGGACACCGAGACCCTGCCACCCGAAGGCTGCCGGGCTCAGGGCTCAGCCCTTCTGAGCTTTTGCACCCACCCGGGGGGAACAAGAGTGCAGCCCAGACTCAGGAAAGCCCCTGCCACTCTCCAGCAAGGTCACAGGCGATGCCTGGGACCGGGGTACACGCAGGGAAGCAGTTCTGCTGGTGGGGGAGCGGGGAGTGCTGGTTGGGAGAGCGCCTCAAAGGTGTCCTGGGACCCCAACAGCCCCTCTGTAGGGACTGACCCGAAAGAGGTAGCGGAACAGCAGGAGGGGCCCTGCTCTCTGCCTCAGAACCTCCTGGAGCTGCTCTACGAATGCACAGCATGACGTGACCGGCAGAAAGGGAGCCCTGCACACCAGCTCCTGTCGCTGGGCAAAGGCTCAGGCAGACGGTCACAGACCCTTCACCTGTTTTGGGGGCCCAGGGAGGGGGCGGTTGGGAGGAGAAAGGGACCCCTGAGTGCAGAGAGAGGAAGGTGACACCAAGTTTGGGGTTGGAGCTTTGTGGAATTAAACAAGGAATAGCTACATGTGAACATGTGTACCCAAACCTATGCACATCTGACACTCCTACACATACGTCAACACCCCAACACACATGCCCCAACACTCCTACATACACTTCAGTACCTCAACACACACACTCCAACACTCCTACACACACACCAACACACACCCAACACTCCCACACAAATAACACCCCAACAAATACCCCCAACACTCCTACGCACATAACACTCCTACACACACATCAACACCAACACCCACCCAACACTCCCACACAAATAACACCCCAACAAATACTCCCAACACTCCTACACGCACAACACTCCTGCACACACGTCAACACCAACTCACACCCAACAACACTGCTACACACAGGTCAACATCCCAACACACACTTCCCAACAGACACAGATAAACATCAATAACACACAAATGTAGATACCGCGCACCACACATACCCACTCACATAAACGTCTATCCCACGACTCACAAACAATGCCATGCTCAACAGGACGGGGGTGTCAGGACCCTTCTCTTAGTGAAAAGGCCTCAGAAAAACCACATTCGAGATGGCTGCAGATGTTGCAATTCGCATTTTTTAAGGTTGGTTTTTTTTTTTTTTTTTTTCGTTTTTGGTTTGTTTTTCCCCTAGAAGGCGGAAAAACCCTCAAGTGCTGGAATAGGAAGAAGGTTATTTTGATCCTGCCTGAGCCGGGCAGTTTCTGCTGACTCCAGCAGGTCTGTGCCGAAGCGGCCTCGGCAGCTGGCCGAGCTCGGTGCCAGCAGAGCCCCCAGCAATGGGCAAGGTGCCGGGTCCCTTGGAGGTGACACAGCAGAGTGGGCACCAGCTGCAGTGTCCGGGGCCAAAGCTCCTCCAGCCTTGCCCGGCCCAGTACACCCTGGCCAAGGTGTGCAGGAATGTGACTCCCCAGACCCCGGCTGGCATGGAGGACTCCCCAGGGCTCCCTGGCACTCACAACCAATTATCCAGGCTCCCTGGGGGCCCGGGTTCAAGCTCAGTGCCACTGATTTGGCTCCTCCTCCTCCCAGACGGAGGAAGCAAAGCTGAGGAGGGGATGGGTGGGTGGCGGGCAGGTGTCAGGTGGGCAGTGCAGACACGACACGCAGTGCAGAGCCGACGCCAGGCACTCAGGCCCTCCGACGGCCCAGGCAGGCGCACTCCAAGCCTGGCAAGGCCAACCGCCTCCTGCCACCAGCCTCGATTTCCCAAGGCAGGAAAGCAGGCGTCCTAGGTGGGAATGGCACTGTCTGTGAAGCGGCAGCCGCCTCTCCACAGAGGCACTCCCACATCTGTGCCCATGGCTGCCCCATCTTCCCCCGCGAGGTTTTCCAGAACTTCCCAGCGGTGGGGAGCTTTATGCATTAACTCAACCGCTCAGTGCTGCTGTCTAGAGGACGTTACTGAGCCCATACATGGAAGCGTTGAGGGGGACAGGGGAGGCACCCCAGCCAGCTGGGTCACCGCCACCCATCAGGAAGGGAACACCCTGGGCTGAGTATTCTGGCCAAGGAGGCCCCGAGATCTCCATTCAAGCCCCACCAGCCCGGATGCCGTACTTGAGGATGGCTAGTCAGGCACAGCAGCATTGGGGCCCACGAACAGGCCCAGCGAAGACCACCCTTGGCCATTGGGTGAGGGGGCACCCTCCCATGCACCTTCGTACCCACGTTGCTGCTTCCAGGGGACACTCAGCTTTAGGGGACAGGAACACGTTTTTCTGGGAAGTGGACCATGCGAGCACCTGCTGGTGAGGTCAGTTGCAAACTGGAGACCCAGGGGACACGTGGCAATGTCTGGAAACACTTTTGGTTGTCACAACTGGGGGTTGCTCCTGGCATTGAGTGGGTGAAGGCCAGGGGCTGTGGTAACCGTCCTGCACCGACAGGACCGTCCCCCAGGACAAAGAATAGTTGATCCAGTGGGTTGTACTGTGGGCCGGGCACACCTAAGAACAGGCTTTTTTTTATTTTTTATTTTTGAGGTGGAGTTTCACTCTTGTCGCCCAGGCTGGAGTGCGGTGGCACGATCTCGGCTCACTGCAACCTCCATCTCCCAGGTTCAAACGATTCTCCTGCCTCAGCCTCCTGAGTAGCTGGAATTATAGGCATATGCCACTGCACCCAGCTAATTTTGTATTTTTAGTAGAGATGGGGTTTCTCCATGTTGGTCAGGCTGGTCTCGAACTCCCAACCTCAGGTGATCTACCCGCTTCAGCCTCCCAAAGTGCTGGGATTACAGGTGTGACCTGCCGTGCCCGGCCTAAAACAGGCTTATCATCCCCATTCCACGGGTGAGGAGACACACTCCGAAGGAAACTGACTCCCTCACCAAGTCCAAGACCCTCCAGCTGGCGGGTCCTCCCACTAGGCGGCCGGCCTCTGCACCAGGAGGTGCGATCTGAGCCTAGGTCTGGGCTGGGGTTTCTGGGCGAGATGCGTCCCTATCTCACCCTGGTGGGGTCAGGAGCGAGAGGAGGAACTGCCCAAGGGCTTTGGTGAGACTGTCCCAAGCCCTGAGAAAGCTGGGGCCCTGCCTGCTGGGAACTCAGGCCCCAAGTCCTGGCTGCCTGTGGGACACCTGAATGTTCCTGGCCAGGACAGACCGGGTTTCAGACCCAGGTTGCTGTGGCCACACCTCCTGTCTCCCCAGACGAGGCAGGTCCGGGGCTGTGCAGCCTGGTCTGATTCTGTAGGGCCCAGGTCCGTCTGTTAGTGCTCAGGATAAAGCCGCATTCAGGGGACACACAGGGCCGGCTTTGTGCAACGCCCACACCCCCCCACCCCCGGGGCCTGCAGTTCCCTGCCCCCCAACCTTGTGCACTCTTCACCCCAGTCCCCCCACTCCCCAGCTGTCTCCAGGGGCCCTGCCCACACCAGCCCTGGAGGGAGGGAGGTGTGTGGCTGTCTTTGTCCCTGTCCCAGGCCCTGGTAACCCGCAGGACCCAGACACAGGGCAAAGGAGGAGGCCCCTGCAGACTGAAGGGGTGGGGACAAACCCTCATGGCTCTCCCGGCCCCGCCAGGCTTGGCCCCAGGGGCAGGAGGATCTGAGTTCTGGATGCCTGTGTCCACAGAGTGAGAAAATTGCTCCCAGAAATGAGCACCAGGCTCAGTAGAACGTAAAAGCGTCACCTTGGTCCCCAGGCCACCAACCTCCACTGAGTCACAGGCCCAGGAAAATTCACACGGGGGAGGGGAGGGAGAAACTCTCCAAACTGACTGCTGGCTAGACTTGGTCAGCCAAGGGCCTGGGTCCAGGCTTAGGGAGAGGGAGATCAACAAGGGCTCTTGAGATCACAGCTCAGGGGCACCCTGGAGAGGGCCGGGGCGGTGGCAGGGAGGCTCAGTGGCTGGCTCAGCAGGTCCGGGTCCTGGCCTGGCTCTGGGGGGCCCTCTCTGAGTTCATGGCAGTCTCCCTGTGTCAGCGGGGGGACCGTGCGGCAGGATATGTGGGGGGCATGTGCTCAGTGCACAGCGCCCCCTGGAGGTGGACCCGGACGCACGGGATGCTCCCTTCTGTGCCGGCTCCAGCAGAACAAGGGTGGCCCAAACCCATTCACCCTCAAAGAGACATGGACCTGCTCTTGAATCGCAGATGGAGCATATAATGGAAGACCTGGAGGGCTCCCTGTAAGGTGGGCACTGGGGCTTTTGGTACAGAGCACAGAGGGAGAGGCAGAGGGCGCAAGTGAGCAGAGGCTGGAAGCCGGACCCTCCTGGATGCCCCTGGACACGGCCATACATGGAAGTGTTGAGGGGGACAGGGGAGGCACCCCAGCCAGCTGGGTCACCGCCACCCATCAGGAAGGGAACATCCTGGGCTGAGTATTCTGGCCAAGGAGGCCCCGAGATCTCCATTCAAGCCCCACCAGCCCGGATGCTGTACTTGAGGAAGGCTGGTCAGGCACAGAAGCATCAGGGCCCACAAACAGGCCCAGCGAAGACCACCCTTGGCCATGGGGTGAGGGGGCACCCTCCCATGCACCTTCGCACCCACGGTGCTGCTTCCAGGGGACACTCAGCTTTAGGGAACATGAACACATTTCTCTGGGAAGTGGACCATGCGAGTGCCTGCTGGTGAGGTCAGGTGCAAACTGGAGACCCAAAGGCACATGCACCGACGATCCCCGGCCCCCGTCATGTTCCCACCTGGCATCACAGGAGCGGGGCTTTGGGCAACCACCCCCTCTCCACAGTCCTGGTCTCAAGACTCACCTGTCCTGGGGCAGCCACACCCTGACACTGTCTGCTTCCCCTGCCACCTCCCCCTCCTGCCCCCGCCCGGGATGCCTGGGCCTCAGCACGTGGGCCTGTATGGCTCACTCCCAGGCCCACTGCAGCCTTTCGTCAAGCTTGGGCTCCCTCCCCAACTAAGTTCGCACATCCCTCTGGGCAGGCACTGTGAATGTACCGGCAAAGATCCCT